ATACGTCCTGTAAAATTAAGAGACTTTGTTGAATTTTAATTTTGTGCTTGTAAATTCTGTCCATTTAATTAACTTATTGTTAATTTTCTATTGGTTCAATGTAAGTGGCTATTGTTCGGCTATTGTGTTACGACAGCGGAAGTCACGTGACGCTGGTAACACGTCATGAGATTCTCGTAGGATCTTGAATTATCCTGGCAACTCTAGTCTGTTCCAGGCGCCCTCTTTTTTTAGTATATAAGCCCGGCAAATAAAGCAGAATGGAATAGATAGATAGATATAGAGAGTGATAATTGAGTCAAGCAAAGTAAAGTGTGTGAATCACTGTGATTTATAGCATGTGTTCATAAAAGTAGTCATGTTTAAAGTGACGGCGGAAATTCTGTGTATTGCAAAGTTGTATCGAGAAAGAATAAACTAGTTTTAATTAAGAAAGAATTTCTACAGGAAATTAACAAACAAGCAGATACGCAACAGTATTAAAAATATCTGTAGTTAACTCCTTGGTGGTTTCACCTACAAGTTACTTCATATCTTTTGTAATATAATGTTTTAAACTGTTTAGGGTAATTGTCTAGCTGTAATTTCTGATAATAACTTAAAAACGGACTAGCTAAATATGGTGCAACCGTTGATCCCATAGAAACTCCATCTATTTGTTGATAATGACATCCATTAAAATACAGACTAGCTGAACATGGTGCAACCTTTGATTCCATAGAAACTCCATTTGTTGATAATGACAACCATTAAAACACAGACTCGCTTAACATGATGCAACCCTTGATCCCATAGAAACTCCATCTGCTTGTTGATAATAACAATCATTAAAATGCAGACTAGCTAGACATGGTGCAACCCTTGATTCCATTGGAACTCCATCTATTTGTTGATAATGACAACCATTAAAATACAGATTAGCTGAACATGGTGCAACCCTTGATCCCATAGAATCTCCGTCTATTTGTTGACAATGAGAACCATTAAAATACAGACTAGCTGAACATGGTACAACCACTGAGTCCATAGGAACTCCATTTGGTGATAATGACAACCATTAAAATACAGACTAGCTTAACATGGTGCAACCCTTGATCCCATAGAAACTCCATCTATTTGTTGATAATGACAGTCATTAAAATACAGACTAGCTGAACATGGTACAACCCTTAATCCCATAACAACTCATTTGTTGAGAATAACAACCATTAAAAATTAATTAATCTCGTTTGTGATAAGTTCCAATAATTCAATAAAAATTGGTTTCATTATACCAGTAGTATATGTCCAAATCATCAGTGTAGTCAGGTTCACTGAAAGTTAATTTACTAGCATCTTTAAAACCCTCCAAAGTCATCTTTGCTGTAAGTTCATTTCTTACAAACGGCTAAAAGAAAACTAACAGAATTATCATATCATTACCTTTATCAGGTTTAACAATTGCTAAGTCATCTAATGAACTGATATTTTAGTAGCTTTTTCTTAAAATACGTTTATATGCAACTTCTTAATGTCAAAACTATGAAATTCTGAAAGGCCTAAACCTGAAATTTCTGTAACTTTGTCGTCAAAGTTTACATTTCTTTGGGGTCAAAGGTTACACCCTACATTTGTTTTTAGGTTATCGTAAAATATTTGGTTTTATAACTGTCAGGAACATTTTAATCCAAACGATTTGTGGATTACACATTTGTGGTCTTTAAAAATAAAGTATTTTTGCAAGGATTTCAAAAAATATTTAAATAATCAACATGTTAGTATCGAATATTTAGCTTTAGGCAACTTGCTAAATTGATTATAATACAAATATAGTGAAAACCAGAACTGTTCAAGATCACTGAATGATTTTTTTCGTTTTGAAAATAAGTAACTTGTATATTTTCTGTTTTATTCAGCACCTAATCCTCGTATAAGGTCGATACAAGCCTCGGGTAAAGGAATCAAATCCGTTTCCTTCGACTTGGGAATGATTCTGGAATCGACGATAAAGCAAAACCTTCTGTGAAAATCATCACCTCTCGTGTGTCACCAGGACTAGGTAATCAACAGAAGATTCCCAAACCATGGATTGCATGTCTTGAACAAAATAAAACCTTCTGGCAAGAAAGAGCAACCAAAGGTAAGAGACTGAGTTGTATTCTCACCGGTGAATAAAGACCCTTCTCGATAATAGATGATATTAATATATGAACTGTGTAAAGTCTTACTACAAAAGCAGGCCGAGAAATTCTCGAAAGATACTTGATAAAATTTTTTGGATGTTATTGAATGGAAAGAAGATCCTCTTTGAACCACGTGATGGTATGCAGTAGAGTTGATTTCAGATGAACACTTTTCATTTCTCATCTCTTTCACACAGATGTGTGAACAGAGTAAGCCATGGAAAATCTTTCACACAAATATGTGAATAAAGCAAATCATGGAAAGCCTTTCACAAATGAATAAACAAAATATATCATGAAAAGCGTTAAGGCAAGAAAAAACAACACTTGAATTAAGGAAGTTTTTTTACATCGTTTGAGCTTAGCTGTAGGGGAAGGTGAGGTAAGACCTTAGGTAAAACAGCCACCCCAGTATATTATCAGATATGAGGTGCTTCTAACTAGAACTAATTATATTGTTCTGTGACCCCGTGCACAAACACGCTGGTAGACAGGCGTAAATATGAATAACTGAAAGTCAAATTGCGACCCCAGTTTTTGTGTTTGTGTGTGAACAACTTTCATCTGAGATAAAATCCTTCTAGCTACAAGGATATTTTAGAGAATTTCACGTTGTTAATTTCAAGCAATAAGGACTCATAGACAGCCGAATATGCCGAAAAATAAACTCAGTTCAGGTTCAGTGATTTTGTATAACGTGTAATCGTGTAGGGTAAAACGTCTTCCGCGGCGTTGTCTTAACCCCACATTTGTACCCACGTTCTTTTGTGACGTTGTTTTAGATAACGCTCAACTTACGCATTACCCACGACCTTCCTGATTCCTGTAGAGAGTATTTAACTGATTTAAATGCAGTTACTAAATGCAGCATATATTTCAAGTTGGAGTTGTAATGGGCTAGATTGGGCCATTTGACTCCATCTTGGAAGTCCATTTTATCCAACCTTATACCTAAACGGCCCACAACCACAAGAAGTGCATTTTTAAAACCTGTAAAAAAGGGGCCTATGTCTAATATTTATGTTAACTAGAAATGACATTTATAATGAAAAGGGTTCATTTTAAAACGTTTTCGTTTTCATGACCTTCATCCTAATTGGAGAAAAGCGCATTCAGAGTTATGAAGGCTTTCTTACTCCACCTTCCACTTTCGAGTTCGCTTTGTGATTATGAATTCAGGTGTTCAACGGTATTTGTTTAGTGTGTAACTAAAAAATCTGAAGTTAGCTCTGCATTATCAACTTAAAAGTGGACGACGAATTCAAAGAGATCACTTGTGAAGTTTTCTTTGTAAAAGAGAATGGGTAATTTATAAAATACGGGCTGCTTCTGTTCTCAGTTCCAGTATAGCTTTAACTAGTACTAACGTTTCTTAAGACTCATAACGTAGGTAATATGTAGAATTATACACGGACTTTTCTCTACGTTAAAATGCTTTATTTGCGAGCTTCTGGCTCTCTTACCGGAGCCTTCATCGGGCAACAATATACTGAGCAATACAAATTCGTTTATTTGTAAAACACTGCTTTGAAATAGGAACCCAGGCAACAATCGTAACAAAATCTGACATCTGGTATTAAAGTTATTAATCACATAGAAATTATTATGAATATATAAGATAAATCGATTATTTCAATATAATAAACATAAGAAAAATACAATTATAGGTATTATATAGTGAAATAAAAATAACATTTTCATACTTCAAATAATACAGGTTTAAGTTAACATCGAAACCACGACAAATAATATGTTTTATGTCTTTGATAAGTGGTATCTAGCTATTTGCATTTCTCTATTTAATACCCATAATTGTATTTTCATTATTTTTACTATATTGAAGTAATTGATATTTATCTTCTATATTCATGATAATTTCTACATGGTTAATAACTTTAATACCAGGTATCAATTATTGTTACGATTGTTGCCTAGATACATGTTTTAACGCAGCGTTCTACAGATAAACTAATTTATATTGCTCAGTATATTGTTGCCCTATGAAATATCAGGTAAGAAGGCCGAAACCTCGCAAATAAAAATATTTTAACGTAAAGAACAGTCCGTGTATAATTCTACATAGCAGTAACGTATTCCACTATAACTAACACTAATCCTAATATATAACACTAACTTATTTCACGAGAGCTAACACTAACGAATCTTACTTTAGGCAAAAGTAATCTGTTACGTATTATAATTTCAAATAGCCTGAAATTGAGTTAGATGATAGTTTAAATTTAGTAGTTGAATATATGCTGATATGTCTCCAATTTATGATATTTGCCAACAAGATTGATACACACAGTTTTCTTTTTAATACAAATATATTTTAATATATACACAACAATACAATTTACAATAACAGTTATTACAAATAGTTATTACAAACAATGATTTATATACAAAAGTTTCACAAACTTACAAACAATATAAAGTCTTCTTTCTAGTCTGGTACTTCCTTGATGTCTTATCGAGGGTTGACGATGAGCGAGTTAATTTTGAGTTGACGTAGGTATAATTCACTAGTTAGCCTTGTAGTTCTCGCTGACTAAACGCCGATTGCAGGTCGAATTTCCATTGATAACGTTAGATAATGTTTTCGTAAAAGTACTAATGACCGATGTGAATCCAATGAAGTTAAATAGTTTATAATGTTCGAAATTTATAAATGTTCCTGGTAAAATATCTGAAGTTTCCCGATAAATAAGCGTTAATCACAGTTATAGCTTACATAGTTTACAGCACACCAGTTACA